GGGTGGTCACGCCGCAATCCCTTCTCCTCCACTCTCCTCTCGGGATCTTGGGCACGCACGCACCCGGGCCCGGCGTGAGATTTAAGCCACCGGGTCCAGGACGGGAATCGCGGTCGACTACGTGGGAGTCCAGCAACATAGCCATTACGCTAACTGCTGGTTCCCTGGTGTCTTCTTTTTAGATGAATCATACTTCTTCTTAAAAAAGGAAGGACCAGCAGTGTAATGGCTACCATTAGTGTAATGGCTATGTCACTGGATTCCCGTGTAGTCGACTGCAGTTCGAGTCCTGGACCTGGTGGCTTAAACTCATGCCAGGCGCATGTGCATGCGTGCCCAAGATCCCGAGAGGAGAGTGGAGGAGAAGGGATTGCGGCGTGGCCATCCCCCAGGGGGTGATTTCTCACTTTCTGTCTCTCTGTCTCTCTCTTGTCCTTCTGGCAAGCGCACGTGCCCTATAGCAAAAACCTCTCCAAAAAAAAAAAAAAAATGGAAAAGTCTGCTAGCAGATGGTATATCACAGAACACTTGGTAAGCAGGACTGAATTGAGGTTTATGTGAGACTTGTGTGCTCGGCATTTGCTTTTCAACAATTGAGTAGTTGACATGTAAATATTTTCTCAAAAATATTTAAAACTATACTGTCTCTTTTTTTTATAGAGTTATAAACAAAATTATAAAAAATATTTTGAACATTATCTTTAATATTCAGTATTTTGAAATTTTGAAAATTGTTTATTAACTGTCAAGAACTATGGAGTATGAGCTAACTTTTTTGATATGTAAAGTAAATGTTTGTGGAAAAATGTAAAAATAAATAAATAATTTTTTTTAAAAAGGAAAAGTCTGCAAAGTTCCTAGACCAGAGCCTGCCATAGCCTGCCATACAGTGTGACCACTCAACAGGGTAGGTTCCCAGCCCCTTGGCCTGCTCTGTCTTCCCCTCTCCAACTTCATGTTCATCTCCACTCTGTGCCTTAGCTGCTGCTGCATCTGGCATACCCCCAACTTGGGGGTGTAACACACTAATTGCCTACAGTCTTGATCTTAGACTAATTTCCTAAGGTCTTCCGGGATTCAGGGAGGCTCCCTGCATTGCTGGGAAAAACCAGGTGGCTGGTTTTGCTGTGGGGAGGGGCAGGAGGAGGTGGGAAGGCATGGTGGTGCTAAACAGATGGGAAGCTTATTTATCAGCCTTTGATTGAGGTGATGTGAGGAATGGGCTGAGTCCTGCTGTCTGGCAACATTCCCCTCCTTTTTCCAGTCCCCTCACATATAGCCTTTCAGAGGTTACCACTGCATTTCGTAACACAAAGAATTCAGCCTCTGTGTAGAAATGAAAACATTAGAGTTATAACCTCCTTCTCTTTGGAACCTCCCCTCAATTCCACCTACTGCCTACAGGTAATCACTGCTGTCCTTTGGGTCACATTGCCCCTTTGTGACATCCACTCCTCTGCTGGGCTGCCCAGGCTATAGCAGGCTGCAACGGCTGGGGAGATGTCCCCCAGCTGACACTTTCTCTCCCCTGTGTGAAGTCCTCTGAGGGCTTAGCTTATGATGTACAAAGGCCCCATATACTGTCCCCTGTCCGGTGGTCATCTGGTCTCTTTCACTAGAATGTAAACCCTCTGGGGCCAGGCCCTGTGGCCTGAATAGCCTTGAGGTCCACATAGCCTCTCTCTGGCTCCTGCACAGCACATGTCATGAACGATGTCAGTAAACGCAGTCACGTGAGGAGGTCTTTTGTCGTTCTCAATCTTTTTCTTTTTTGCTTGTTTGCTAGTGCTTGACAGAGAGAAAGAGAAAGGATAAAACACCCACTCTCCCCATGGGGAATGGCCACTTCCTAATTCTTCTTTTATCTCTCCGTCCTTTTGGGATTTGGGGCACATGCACACAGGGGAAAGGTGAGTTTCTTGAGCAACTGGGTCTGGGACTTGAACTGTGTGGTTGGCCCTGTGGGATCCTTCCTTAACCACCATGCCACGAGGCCAACCCTCTCAATCCATTTTAATAAGTTAGATCCTGGGGTGGGGGTAGGAGTAGGAGAGGACAGGGCCTGCTGCTGACCCAGCAACTGAGGAACTTCTGTTGAGAATGCCTAACCCGATAGTCTCCCTAATGAGAGAGGATGGAGAGCCAAGAGGTGAGGGTCAGAGGCTTGGATTTAGACAGATCCTTGCCTTGGTCTGCCACTTACTAGATGTGTGAGACCAGAGATGACTCTTAACCCTTCAAAGGTTTGTTTACCTATAAAATGCAGACGACAGCCCCTAACAAGCTGCTGTGAGGATCAATAGGGGTAATGGATTTAGTACCTTGAAGCAGCTGTTTTATGGGGTAAGGTTCACACAGGTTTGATAAAGGAGAGAGACTTGTCAACATTTCAGAGTAGACCCTCTGGCCGGGAGAGTGCGTGTAAGGTCATATCTGACTGGGGGAGGAGGGTGTGGTGGTATTTAGAGTATTAAAATATTTGCCTCTTTCCGGAGTCAGACGCTGTCATGCGCATTCTATTTGCCTCTTCCACTTTCCATCCCTGATAAATCCCGGCTTAATTCCAAATGTTAGAATATGGTAGAAAAGATCAAATAAAGCGGTAATCGATGGAGCAAACGTCCATCACGCTGCGGTCGGAGCTGCAGCGCGAATCTCCACACTCGGCCCTGCTGCAGGACCTCTGATTGGCTTGCGCATCGTGACGTCGCCGGCACTTTTAAGGGCGAGCCTCAGCGCAGCGCCTCAGAAGCTGCGGTGGAGGCGAGGGGACGCGCAGGTGCTGGCGGAGTGGCTGGCGTGGCTGCTCGTGAAGGCTCCGGTGGCTGGCCGGGAAAGGTGCAGAGAGCGCGGCTGAGGAAAGGTAAAGGGGCTGTTCAGGCCGGGCCAAGGCGGCCCTGGGGCGTGGAGAATTGGCGTCGGCGATTCGAGGAAGGCGGATAGGGGAGTGTCACCGGGCGGTGGGGAAGGGGTCGCGGCGTAAGGAGGGGCACGAGATCGGCTTGCGGATGCAGAGGGCCGGTGGAGCAGGATTCAGTCTCCGGTCTCAGCGCTCGTACCCTAACTCTTTAGTGTGTAGGCACTGCCCGACTTCCCTTTCCCGCGAGGATTCTCGCCAGGGAAATGGAGTTCGCGGCGTTTGTTTCCGCGCCGCCAGCTCGGAGAATAGGGTCAGGAACCGACTTTTCCGCAGGATCGAGCCTTCATTCCCCTCCCAAGTGTCCTAGGACCTGAGGGTTTCTCTAAGTCTCATCTACCCTGGCAGGGCTCTCGGGAATTTAAGAACGCCTCTGTTACATCTACACAGCTGCTTTTTTTTTTTTTTTTAAAGGAAATTAAAAAGAAAGGATTCAAAGTTGCAAATTTCGTTTTTATAGTTCAACTTTCCCTTTTTCTCTCATCATCATTCCCTGTTCAGGTAACCCAGCCGTGCTCCTCAGAGCCTGCCTGCAGTTTCAAGACCTGTTCCCTGCCCCTACTGGGAGACCCGCGCCTTAACCCGCAATGGGCAACCACTTGACTGAGATGGCGCCCACTGCCTCCTTCTTGCCCCATTTCCAGGCCCTGCACGTGGTGGTCATTGGGCTGGACTCTGCTGGAAAGACTTCCCTCCTTTACCGCCTCAAGTTCAAGGAGTTTGTCCAGAGCGTCCCCACCAAAGGCTTCAACACTGAGAAGATCCGGGTGCCCTTGGGGGGGTCCCGTAGCATCACCTTCCAAGTGTGGGACGTTGGGGGGCAGGAGAAGCTGCGACCACTGTGGCGCTCCTACACCCGCAGGACTGATGGGCTGGTGTTCGTGGTGGATGCTGCGGAGACTGAGCGGCTGGAGGAGGCCAAGGTGGAGCTACACCGGATCAGCCGGGCCTCGGACAACCAAGGTGTGCCGGTGCTGGTGCTGGCCAACAAGCAGGACCAGCCTGGGGCTCTGAGTGCAGCTGAGGTAGAGAAGAGGCTGGCAGGCCGCGAGCTGGCGACCTGCCCCGC